AAATCTGTCCATGTATGATTTATGATTTTGAAACGAGAGAAATGCATGGTTTTGAAGAACGTTTAACACTGAAATGACTGCACTTCAGGCATCTTGAATTGGATCATGAAACATATTTATGTGTGAAGTTTGAATGAAATTGGCCAATGCACGGAGATGAAATCCTCCAAATAAATTTGACGATGTTCTTGGAAAAAGGACACATTATTTTAAATGATGTTTATACAACATGTGCAAATATGTCTACTGGTATGAGGCCAGAGTGCTTGTTACCATAATCCAGGTATGTTTTCTGAAGACATTTAACACAACTACAAATGTTTGAATCGCTCAGAATTTCCAAATTGGAAATATTTTGAACCAAGATTAATTGCAATTAATTCTTAGATGGCTACAAAACACTTGCAGGAATAAAATCTTTATTGTATTTGTGTGATGACCATTACATATTGATAACAATGCCATCTATCAGGAATGAGAAGATTACAGGAAACAAACACACAATTACTTGTGATGCATAGTCCAGTACACACACACCAGAGATGGTTCCTATATCTTTACATTTTGGATCAGACTGGCAATATTTCACAAGTCAGGGTAGGGGTAAATAATTCATTAAAATCATTAACCTTTTCAGCACCAGTTCCCTCATTTCATCACAAATTCACAAAATAGTCCTGTTTGTAGTCTGCACTTTTCTTCAGAAATTCAGACAAAAATAGCCAAATTTATTAGTAAAAACTGAAAATTGACTCAAATTTTGTCTGTTGGCTCCAAAATTAGGGTTCATTTCCAGAAATATTGAAGAATACAAGAAACAAGCAGCCTATCGGCTGAGATAGCTCCGCTGTTAGCAATGCACATTTCAATTAAAGAACTGAAGACATCATTAGAAAATGAACAATATGTATAGTATCAAAGCAATCGGATTTGCAGTTTTTAACAAGAAGTCGAAAATATCACTCTCTACCAAAAATATTCACAAAAATTAGAGAATTGAAGATATCATCACAAAATGAACAAATCTGAGAGAGGTCCACATGTAGTACCTATATATGTAATATCAAAGCAATCAGACTTGCGGTTTTTAACAAGAAGTCGAAAATATTACTTTTTACCAAAAATGACAAAAATATTCACCAAAATTAGAGAATTTAAGATATGATCATGAAATGAACAAATCTGAGAGAGGTCTACCCAAGGTACATATACACCAAATATCAAAGCATTCAGGCTTGTAGTTTTCAAGAAGAAGTCGAAAAAGTAAAACATTGACACGGACGACGGACGCCGGACAATCACTCATATGATAAGCTCCGCTCGACAAAGTCGACAGCGGAGCTAAAAAGTGCAGAAAAATTGTGGCAAGAAAGTGTGGTGGTGAAAATGTTAAAGCAATACTTGTATTCTACAGTTCCCTGATTGGCCCTTTACCCGCATTGCATGATGGTTCAAAACATAAACTATGATAAAGCATCTAATTTTCACAATTGTATACTAGTTTGTCTAAAATATGCAACAGGTTTTCAGATCTCTACAAAATATCCACAACCAATATGTAAACATTCATTGTTATGTAAGCCCCCTCACGTCACGGTAAGTACAATTCTGATGACAGTTAGAAATAAATTGAATACAGTATTGATACATGTAAACTATGGAAGTGTGAATACATTCAAGTCATCCTAATTTTAGAAACAAAATATCATTTTTAAAGACACAAGGAAGGCACTTAATATTCATTTGTGATCGACCTGAAATACAACAACTAAGTTGCCATTATGAACACAATGAATTATTTTCCAAAAGTTGATAAATATACAATAGGAATACAAAACAGTGACTCATTGGCTGTTATTTCGATTAAACAATGGAATCCATTGCACAAGCCAATCAAATTACACTCTATATCCCAACTTAATCAGGTGTGACATTCATTCT